TATTCTGTTCAAGGTATTTTCCCCAAAATTAAAGTTGAGAACCATGGTGTAAAGGAGAGAAAAGAGACCTCAAGAACGGGGTGACTGAGCACAAGAAGAGAGGGGAGGAAAAAATAAACAAAACAACAAAAGACTGCAACTTGCTCCCAGGGACTGAAGAAAATTAAAAAAGGTTGGAATCCATCAGTGTTCTTAGTCATCTTCTCCTTCGTCTTCCTCTCCCTTCTTCTCCTTCATCTTCATCCCCTTCTTCATCAATATCTTCCAAACCTTCTCCTTCTTCATCATCCATATCTGGAACCGTTCCAGATATCCATTTAATTTCAGTTGATTTTGAGGATGGATCACCACTCTCATTCAAATGAAACTCTTTGCAGAGAATTTTATTTTTGAAGTAAGGATTTTCATCAAAATAAAAATCTATTCTGTAACCTGATTTAATATCTTCAAATTCCGTCACTTCAACTCTGGTCAAATAATGCAGTGCCTCTTCATCTTCCTCCCCAAGCAATGCAGACACTTGTGGATGGTTGACAAATGTTGTTACCCAAAAATTTGGGATTTTGGGGGATCAACTCTGATCTCTTCTGAAAGAACGGTTGGCGGAGTTTGTTATATTTCAGTTCTACTTTCAAAATCTCCTCACTGGCTTGTTCATTAAGTCTATTTCATTTTGTACTTCATCAATATGTTCAATTGCTTTCTGCTGTTCTTTTTCTGAGGTCTCGTCGGCCCCGTCATGGTTGGAGTTGAGCTCCTTTTTACTGACTTTGGCCGTCGGGGCCGACATGGTGCTGCTCCGTGGTGGGGGGGAGCGGGGAGGGGGAGAGAAGGGAAGGCGAAGGGGACAGGCAGGCGGCTTCCCCTCACGCCACACGCGTGGGCGCTCGCTCAGTCCGGCCGCTTCCTCCCGGTGCTGGCTCTCCCTCCCCCTTGCTTGCTCTCACTGCCCTCGCAGCCTGGCGACGAGGGAGGGGCTGAGGCAGCGTGCCGGGGCTCCTGGGGCTCCTGCTTACGGAGGAGAGGTGGTGGCGGCGGCGGTGGCAGGCGTGCAGGCAGCTAGGCTCCCTCACTCAGGCTCCGCGCTGTAGCTCACTGCTTGCTCTCGTTCTCCCCGAGCCGCCTCAGGAGTTATTTTTTAAAGTACATGAACCCAAACATAGCACTAAGGTTATATATGTCTTAAAAGTCAAAAGTAACTTTACAACAGTTAAAAAGTTTAAAAAGGTCTCATTCTCCATAGCCCAGAATAGAATAAAACTAGATAAACCTTAAATTAATTCAAGTAGTCTTTATATCACCTCCAATTAAGTGCTCAGAAGTGGAAGAGAACAAATTTAAATTCTATTAAGATATAACATAGATTCCTTTTACATTTAAATTCTCAACACATAAAATTCCCAGTCTATTCACTAAGTTTCAAATTTAACAAAGAAGGTTAAAGAGCATCCTAATTCACATAGTTCTAATACCATATAAAAACAACTTAAAATATTTATATAAAAATTATTATGTCCTGTCATAAAAAGGCAGAAATCACTGTGTTACAAAAGTAATATCTAAAAACATTCTACCCTTGAGCCGTTTATTATTTGCATATATTCTTTTGCGGGTTTTTCCCCAGATTAGCCAATTCTGACACAGAGTAACCCTAGATGTGTACAATTGCTCTCAAGAACTTTTACGGAAGGTAATCAACATTGTCCTCTTGTCGGGAGCCACCCATGAGGCTCCTGACCTAAGGCCTAAGTTGCTTTATACTGCTCATTTCATAAAGGCCTGCCTGGCATGTCTACAGATGAGTTCAGTTCAGAGTCTCCACCCATTCCTGGAAAACTGCTTGCCTCCCTAACTCAGTGCCTGTAATTCGATGCCTTTGGGCATGTTCCTCATTCCTGCTGTAAACTGATATCCTGAGGCTGGGTTTCTATAGCAACCCAGCCTACATAAGATATTGTGAAAAGTTTCATTAAACGAGAATTGATCAGACTCCTGTCTTGTCTCCATTCTTCGCACCACTTGTCCCTTCTCAGCCCCACTCTCTCCCTCCTTAGGTCCTCGTTGAAGACCCTGCAGGCCAGGGCATCCTCTAATGCACCCCTGAGAGGGTACAAACTGCCAAACTTTCAGCTAGTCTTAATCATTTGCTTAACGATAAGGGACTAATTTGCATATAGTCAAACTTGTACTACAGTAAACATTTTAATAGGCAAAAAAAGCACTTTAGAAATTATTCTAAAAAATTATTCTTAAAATGTCTACTTAAAAACTAAGGCAATCATAGGAATTTTTTTTACAAAAAAAGCAAAAACACATGGTTACATTAGAGTAAGGTTGCACTGTTAATGTAATTACATTTTATTTATGTACACAAAAGAAAAAAGACAAAATATTTAAATCAATAAAATTTTTTTTAAATATTTAAACCTATAAATGATGAGTCTATTTTAAAGAGTATAGTTATATATTACTTTCATGAAGCTTAAGTGAAAAGAAGTGTTCAGTAAGAAGCAATTATTTCCTTACTTCTTCCAAGTTATTCTTTTCAACCAATTTCCATCTCAGTCGAGCTTTTAGGCCTTTTAATGTCTTCTTAATGGATAGCAAGTGATCCACACTGGGACTTTTATTTAACCATTCAATAATCTGCTTCTTAAACTAGAGAGAAAAAGATACTACTGTATTTTCAAATTCATCAATTTACTAAACATTTATCTTTCTACTAAAATTGAACTAGTATTTAATAAGTTTAAACACTAAGAAAGTCTCAATTTTCAACAAAAAAATTCTGCCACTTGATTTAATTATGCACACAATTCTGTTTTAAAGAATAGACATCCAGCAATCAAAGTGCAAAAATAAACACTTCAAACTGAGAAGAGCAATGAGAGGTGCATTTCTAATTTTGACACAAATTGCCACTGCTAGTGAGGATGTAAATTGAAACCACCTTTCTCTTTTTATTTTAATTGTTATTTTAATAAAAGTGTACAGTAAAGTTGGATTTTCATAGTCATTGTTGCACATTTTCCTCCCTATCCAGCACAGTTCACGTAAAAAAAAAATTCATTCACCTTTGCATAATTTCCTCTCTCAAACCACCACTCTTCCCCCAGTCCACTTTGCTATCCACCTCTTATTCTGGACTGTTTTAATACAAATGATGCCTAATCATATATTCCTTTCTAAATCGTTCTTTTCTTCATCTGTTCCAACACAGTGTTCATTACTTAACTTCTCTTTTCTTATTTTCCTGAAACCACCTTTCTCAAAAGCAGTTTTACATTATCAAGTTTTAAGAAGGATCATTTTCTTGACTCAGAGAAGTTTAATTATCCCTTAAATAAGGGATAACAATTTAGTCATTCAAAATGATATCAAGAATCATTAATGCCACGGGAAGATGCTCTTAATGAAGAAAACATTTTTGAAGTACTGTTAAAGCAACGTAATGCACATACAGATACAGACAGCTATTGTACGTTCTGTTGACCTGACTCTGACTCACAGTAACCCTAACAACAGACTGAAATCTTGCTCTATCCTGCACCATATTCCTGATTTCCAACATGCTTACATCCACTGTTGCCATCACTACGCCAATCTACCTTGGTAGTGCATCCACAATTCCCATAAAAGTAGTAATAAAGAAAATGGCATACTGCATCATGAAAATCTGCTACAAAGACCTCTTTGAAGAATGGGAAAAAAATGATGTCACTTTAAGAGCAAAGATGTGTCTGACATAAACCACACTAATTTTTTTCACAAATAATTTTTATTTTTAATTAGTAAAAGTATGAATTTTAAATAGATTCTTGAACTGGTGGCTCACAGCCTTCAGTTCATTCAACTTTAGCACCTGTGTCTTCTCCAGTAGCTTTTCCAGAGCTACCACCTTCACCATGAAGCTCCATCAGTTTGCCCAATTCAAACTTGGGCCTCTTCAGCATTTTTACTTTGCTAACAAATATATCATGGAGAAGATAAATAGACTGGCAAGCCTTTTGTCTTTCTCAATGCTGTCTGCAATCAATTTATTGACTACCTTTTTCAAGTCACTTGTCTGCACCTGTCGGGTCATGATTTCCATCATTTTCTTCTGGATTTGGCGGACCTGTTGGTGCTAAGCATAAGATGTCTTCCAAATCTGATTGTTGTCGTTTTTTGTAAAACCAGCACAAAACAGATGAAGCAAATAACCATTGGTAGTCTTGACATCAACATGAGCTTCAATCACGGTCTTCCATTTTTTTACCACGGAGCACATTTTGTCATGAGTAAGATCCATGCCATGGAAGCCGGTGAGGCAGTTTTTGCCTTGAACATCCTCAGTAATTACCCTGAATTTTCTAAATGCAACCTCATCATTTTGCAAATCAGCAAGGCTCACTTCAAAAACACAACCCTTCCTTGAGTCCATCATATACAATTTTGGTTCCTTGAGTCCTTGTGACTAGTGTCTTCCCAATATTTCTTATATTGAACATAATAAAGGTTCATATATATGAACCTTTACATCATACCAAACTTTCTTAGAAAATGATCAACCACTTTCTTCTTGGCTCTTTTTTTGCCACCTTTTGTAAAGCTCTTGTTCTTGCTGACTGCCATGGTGATGCCCAGAGCGAAAAACACAGTCTTTTCTTTTTTTTTTTTCAGCTAAAAACTTATGTTTACTATTAGGAACTCATTCATGAACTTGGCTACAACTATTATAACATTACATACATAGCTTTTCTTTACATTGGGAGAGGTCTGAGAGAGATATTTTCTGCTTCCTTATCTGTTATTTCCCTAAGGGAGTACAAGTGAGGGGACAGGTTTTCTAGTCTTGAGTGGACAGGGGAGACTGGTCGGCCCTTCTAGCTCAAGGCTGGGAGCAAATGGTTGAAGAGAGGCTAAAGGGACTTACCTTTTTTGAGGTTAAAAAAGAGGATTTTCTAACAAGGAGTAACTCTTTGAAGGCTACTTACAATGAGTTCAGATCTGCAACCTTTTCTCCAAGCTGGGTTTCTATATAAGGCTATGCAAGTTCGTATATATAGTAACTCATCTAGTTTTTCTTTTTTTCTGCAGATGAGATTTAAGTGAAGGACTATATTAAAGTTAAAAGAACTATTTACAGGGCATCGATTCTATTTCCCTAACTTGTATTGAGGCCAAATAGTGTTGCACAGGAAATTAATTTTCTTTTTCTTAAGGTCCTCCAGAGAAAGAGACATATTATTCAGTGCGTGCCGTTTTGTAGAATCTTTGGCAATGCTTTGCTTTCCACCCATGGTTATAAACTTGGTGGCCAACAATCAATTGTCTTCCTGTAGAAGGATGTAACCCTCTTGAACAGGCATCTAAGTATCCTTGGGCTCTGGTTTTAACCCATGTACTTTCTTGGAGAATGGTCTTCAGGATCCTAAAGGATGCAAGATCTTACAGTAAGTAGGGGCTCTCAACTGTCTTAATTGTATCTTCCCATATAAAGAAAAAGTTGCGGAGTATGGCAGACTTAAGCAATGAAGACTGGGGACAACAGTAACGGTGTTTGATTAAGCAACAGTAAGTCTTAAACAAGTCTCCTGGGTTGAGCCAGGGGTCTAAGGATTGGAAAGGTAAAGTAGAATTCCAGTCACTGCAGAGACAGCAAGGGTACGTTGGATGTGAGTGGAAGATAAAATTGCAAAAAGAACAGAATCACTTGGGGGAAAACCTGGAAATAAAGGTACGAAAGTAAGTATTTCCTAGCTAGGACAAAATGTCCTCCATTTTGACAGTTAGGACTAAAGTTTAAGCAAAGGAAATCAGCAATATAGAATTCAGAACACTTATTAAACCAAACAAGAACTAGCTAGAAAGCAAATTAACAACCAACTAACCACAATATCAACAACAACCAAAAACACCAAAAAACTAAACCCCTAATGAGAGTATTCCCTCTTGGATAAATTCACTCCACCAGGTTTCCAAACTTAAACAAGTTTGGAGATATGGTCCAAAGAAAGAAAAGTGCCCTGAGAAGTATAAGATAATCAATCAATCTTGACAGTGCTGTGTTTTAACTACATGGTGCAGTCTGAGGTTTCTCCCTTCTGAACTCCATGTGGCCGTTTGGGCCTTTCTGCTCTTGAAAAAAGTTCCCTTGTGATTCACCAAGTAATGTAGCCAGATGCTGATTTCAGTCGGAGTTCTTGCCTTTACAAAACCTCTGGGATGCAGCTAAGTCAATCCTGGGGGGGGGGGGGAGGCTGTTCAGAGCAATAGACCCACACAAGTATCAGATGCTAACCACCTTCTAAGTGTTTGAGTACGCAAGATGGGCTGAGACCTTGGGCCTGGTCCGACCCCAGGAAGCTTGAGATTAGCAGTCAAATGTTTTAACCACTATAGGAATGCTAGAAAAATAAGCAGGGTCAAAAAACAAAATTTGCAACAGCCATCATTAGTCACGAGTAACGCCACAAGGCAGGAGCCTTCTCACTCAAAACTGCGGTATTTTCAACTGCCTCAGACAAGTCAGATAGGCTGTGTCATCTGTATAATGCCAAGTGCTGATGAGTCTTCCCCCAGTCTTAAGACCACATTCTTCTTCATGAAGTCTAGCTTCTCAAATGATTTACTCAGCACACAGACTGAGCAGGTACTGAGAAAGTACACAACTCACACTTTTCTTCTTTTTAAACCAAGCAGTGCTCTCTTGTTCTGTTCAGACAAGTTTCTTGTTCTAGGTATAGGTTTTGTATGAATATAATTAAGCATTCTGGGATTCCCATGTTAGTTATAGTTTGTTATGATCCACATAGTCAAATGTCTTTGCATAGTCGATAAAGTACAGATAGAGGGTCTTCTGGTATTTTATGCTTTCAACCAGAATCCATCTGACTACAGAAATATTTCTGATGCCATGGCCTCTTCTAAACCCAGTTTGAATTTCTAGCAGTTTGTTCTTGATGTACTGTTCTAGCCAATTTCAGATGACCTTCAGCAATATTTTACTTGTATATGATTATTAATTATATTGTTATATAATTTCAACATTCTATAGGATCACCTTTCCTGGTAATGGGAAAAAAGGGATCTCTTATAGTCAGCCAGCCAGGCAGCTGTCTTCCAAATTTCCTGAAACAGACTAGAGGACTTAAAGTGCTTGCTGCATAAGATCTTGGGGAAAGTACAGCCAGAATGCTCTACAAGCAAAGATGATGAAGCTTTGTGTCATATACTTTGGACATCTTGTTAGGAAAACTTATAAACTTCCTTATAAAGGTCTATCATGCTTTGAAAGGTGGAATGTGAGCAAAAGAGAGGAAGACCCTTAATGAGATGACACAGTGACTCAAGAGCAGCAAGGGACAAGAGTGTGTCAGAGATGAAGAAGATGGCACAAGATAGGGCAGGGTTCAGATCTGTTTTTCATAGGGTCACCATGAGTAATACTCAACTTGACACCACCTGTCAACAATATATGTGAGTGAAAGTTAAACAATAAATGAGGAGGACCAAAAAGGAATTATGCCTTTGAATGGTGATGTTGGCAAAGATAACTGGATGCACCATGGATTGACAAGAGAATAAACAAACATGTCTCGGTATGTTTGCAGGAGTGGTTAATCCTTATTGAAGGCATTATGCTCGGGAACTGCCAAGTCAGTAAGAAAGAGCAAAGTCATCAAAAAGAAAACTGACACAGCAGCTGCAACAATGAGTTCAAGTACAGAGCAAGTGAGATGACACATAATGCATCAGAGTTCCACTCTGCTATACAGAGGGCTGTTTGGAGTTATAACTGACCTGCTGGCACCTAACTACAGTAAGAGGCAAGAGTTACTCTTAGAAGTTATATTTTCCTAAAAATAATTTACTCGTGGGATATTAAATTACTTTAAAATACATATGTATTTAAAACTGCAAAGTCTAACTTTCTATGATCAAGTATAAGAAAGAATAAGAAAAAATATTAATCCAACCTCAACACTGTCCTTATATTTGGATTGTACTGTTGCAATAAGTTTTTCTTCAGAATGAATCTTTTGCAATACTTGACTATATGTGTTTAAAATTATCTCCTTGTCTGCATCACCTTGGTCCTAAAGGAAAGCATATACATGAAATTACACATAAGAGACAAAAAAATAGTTTAAACCTTCAGTAACAGTAGATAAACTTCACAGAGGATTATCTTTGAAAAATTCTAAATCATTTCAAAATATTTCTTAAACACAAATCCCTTCCTGGACAAAAAAGACTAATGGAGCAAAGATGTACAAATGTGACATTTTTCTCTCATTATACAACTATTCCTGAATCTGTCTGGGATATTGCATTAAAGAAGATGAAAAACACAATATATTAAATATAAAATTTCTAGAATGTCAACACAAAATTAATCTTAGCCATCATTAACAATTTCAAATTCAAGTCTGACTATACAAACTAAATTAGGAATAAATAACAGAAAGACTATTATAGTAGTGTATAATATATTTTGTAATGTTACTGGGAGCCTTGAGGCAGGAAGCTGTGCTGCAATCCCAAAGGCAAGCAGTTCAAGGCCACCAGCTGCTCTGTGGAAGAAGGCTAGGCACTCTCCTCATTGCCTCTGAAAACTCACAAGAGGATAAGCTATGGCTTGGTTCTGACTCTATGGCACACAACAGTAACTATAAATAAAAAAGGCAAAATGAAAAGACATATAACCCTTAAGACTTTGAAGACCTAAGTGAATGACTGAGCCAGACAGAGTATTGTTGATTACAAAACTTGGCACAGCAATATAAAAATAAGCGCAACAAGAGAGCTCTGGTGGCCTAGTGGTAAGAAGCTGTGCTACAATCCCAAAGGCATGTGGTTTTAATCCACCAGATGCTTCGCTGGAGAACGAGGCGCAATCTCCTCTTGTGCCAGTCAGATCCAATTCGACAGTACACAACAACAACAACAACAACAACAAAAAAAAATAAATATATATATGCATGCAACAGAGGAAGGGGGGTGACCAATTAATCCTGTTTGTCCACTTCCATAACTCTTGCATATTTTACTGCAAATATTCATGAATTTTAAGGAATCTTTTCTTTTAGTAAGTGTGAAACATTGAAGAAACAAATGATACAGAAACTGACACAATTCAATGAAAAGGAATTTTCTTAAATTAAAAGCTGGGCTTTTTTAAGTGAAATAAAATAAAATAAAAATGCCACTCTGCAGAATACTATTTTTAAATATTAAGATCCTTTTAAATATTTCTACTTCAAATAAGTCTATAAGTATTTAAGATCTTAATATTTTCTAGCTCACAAGAGCATTCGGTTATTGGTTAATAGTTTCTAACTAGTAAGATAAAATGACAGTATCAATACTCACAATCAGAGACATTTCTAGTTCTCTGCAAACACTTGACTCAGCATTCTCTAATATTTCATCAACATTATCAATTGTGTCTTCAGTAGTTGATGATTCCTCCAAAGTTAGATCAAAAACCTCAATTGTGAATATAGAAACATAAAACAGCACATAAAATTAATTAGCATTTCTTGCATGTTTAGTGCTATGAGTAACTCATTAGCTTATGCACTGAGCAATAAACAGAAAATAAAGGTACGTAAGACAATATATTTACCTTTCCAGAACTTATGTACCTTTTGGTTTCTGTGAAGGTATTTCACACTTAAAATCTTTTTTTAAAATAGTATTTTTATTATGCTTGTTTACTTACAAAGTTCTTATACATTGTTTTTCACACCAGATTTCTCCTTTCCTTTACCCATCCCTCCCACCACCCATCAAATTATGTGATCCCATTCTCATCCCTCTGTGCCCTCCTCCCACCCCTGCCATGGATCCTCGCACATGTTGTACAATAATGGTCTTACTGTCCTTATGGAACTGAGTTAATTCACTTAACATAATGCTCTCCAGTCCCTCCCATATTGGGTAGTAATTTACAAAATCATTCCTCCTGCATGCTGCATAGTATTCTATCATGTGAATGTATCGTAATTTCTCAATCCATTCCACTGTGGTTGGACATTTGGGCTGTTTTCTTACAAGAAGAATAACACAGAGAAGAACCTCTTATTTTTAAAGCAATTTGTGGTTAAGAGTGTTGTTATGTGCCGTCAAGTCGCCAACAGCCTTAAACCCTGCTCTATCCTGTGCCAATCTATCTCTGACACACCTACCCCGAACCCCAGTCACCGAACCAATCCACCCCATAGAGGGTCTTCCTCTCCTGCACTATCCTTCCACCCTCCCAATCATGACATCCTTCTCCAAGGACTGGTCCCTCCTTGCAACATGTCCAAAGTATGTTTGATAAAGCTTCAGAATCCTTGCCTCCAAGGAGCACCCTGGTTTAACTCTCTCCAGGATGAACCTGTTCATTTTTTTAACAGTCCATGGTATATTCAATACTTCAGCACCACAGCTCAAAGGCATCAATTCTCCTTCTATCCTCCCTAGTCATTGTCCAGCTCTCTGAAGCATAGCAAGTGATTGCAAAGACCATGGGCTGTATCAGGTGCTCTTTAGTCTCCAGACTGACACCACTGCTCTTCAGTACTTTGGAGAGGTCCCTAACAGCAGACTTTACCATCTCAATGTCTTTTAAATTTCCTGGCTGCTGGTGCCAAAAGTGTTGACTGTGGAGCTAAGCAAACTAAAGCTGTGTACAATCTCAATCTCTTCACCATCCAT